CTGTCATAGGGAAGGCTGTGCCAAGGCTCTGGCAGCATCCCAGAGCCCTCACACCGCCCTCCAAAAGCCACACAAAATGGAGGCACTCCGTAATCTTTCATAAAATGGCCGCCTGTCAGAGGCTATTTAGTGCTCCCACATGGATCTTTGTAATTTTGTGGCACTTCGTCTTTTGCAGATAACTTTTAAATTTGCAGAGTTAAAGTTGTATAAGTAATTAATACTCTACCTCTCAAAGGTAAAGTGAATGTTGCCTGTGTTGCACAGTGTTGGGGAGCAAAGAGGAGGGGGGCAATTACGGAGGTGAGGTGGAAATCACTTTCTGCTCTTGCAAGGCTGTTAGGTCATGTGGGGGAATAAATAAACAAATGGAGAGATGAGGAAACTCAGTCTTCATTTATTTATACTTCTCCCCATACACCTACCTGTGCAGAACTGTGATTGCGACAGCTGTCTTTGGGAAAAGAGCACTTGTGCTGCCCAACCAAAGACAAATAAGATGGGTGGACTTTGCATAGCTCAGTTGGTTAGAGTGTGGTGCTGATAACGCCACGGTTGCACAATTGATCCCCATATGGGACAGCTGCATATTCCTGCATCGCAGGGGGTTGGACTGGATGACCCCCAGGGTCCCTTCCAACTCTACAGTTCTATGATTCTATGGTTAATTTTTCTGCTCCCAATGCTTAGCGCCCTCAAGGGGATTTTCTCTATTATAGATCTTACTCCTGTCACCCCTTGGTCCTTCTCTCCTTCCCAAATATGGGCAAGCACTTCTTAGGTTTCCGGCTTTATGTAAGGCAGTACCAGGGCTCTAGCATAACCCAGAGCCCTTGCGCCACCCTCTCCAAAAGCCAGACAAAATGGAGGCACTCTCTGATCTTTCACAAAATGGCGGCTTTGTGAGTCTGCTATTTACCACCCCCCAAGTGGATCTTCTTAATTTTGTGTCACCTTGGCTGGCATCCTGTGCAGAGGAACAGCTGTCATTGCTGTCAATCCTGCACTGAGCATGGAGGCTTTTTGGGGTCCCTCACTCTGGCAAGTTCCTGGAGCATTCCCAAAGCTCAGCAAGCGTTTACTGACAGCCAGGAGAGCTCTGGCAGCATTCCATAGCCCCACCACCACCACCTTCCCAAAGTCAGGTAAGCAGCCCCACACTTTGCTGGGGACTTTATTCATTTTTTCCTCAGATTTTGTCCTCCAGCATCCTGCCCTGACAAAACTAGTGATGTGTAGATGCTTTACCTTGTTGTTCAATGAAGTATTTATGTGATTTTGTGTTCCACCACTAGAGGTGCTTTTAGGATTTGTGAATGACTGAGATAGCATAGCACTGTGTAAACAAGAGAACAGCAATAATGGACTGGAAACCGTGTTAAGTATCTTGGGAAGAATACCTGTCATGTATTAGATAATAGATGTGGTTCTGCTATGTGAAAAAGGCATGGAGACTGACAGACTGAAATGAGCATCCTAAATGAACACAAGCCAGAAATTAAAAGGGCTGCAAGTACAGCTGGGCGATTCTCAAGATCGTGATAAGTCAATAGCTAAGCATCGTGATACATTGATATTGCACAAGGTATGAAATAAGTACCTTTAACATATTGCTGCAACTGTTATGTCACAATACAGATAATTTTAGCCTAGCACATTTTCTCTTAAGTTAAAGTTGCCGAAATAGTAGCATAGATATCAAAGATAAGGTGAGAGAATGTTCCTTAATAGACGAGAGAAAGAGAAGTACACATCTGTATGTTTTGCAGTAACGTGGGGGGGATTTGGGAGGCCATGCATAAGGGTGTCAGGAGGTGGAGAAACAAATAGTAAGCAGAGAAAAAACACACTTCATTGATTTCTCTCTCACACCCACCCTATACACCCACCTGTGCAAAACTGCTATTGCATCAGGTTTAGCTGGCTTTGAAAAGGGGGCAGCTTTCAAAAATGGAATATTTGGTGTCCCCAAGTGTATCTTCTTAATTTTGTGGCAACTCAGCTCTGTTCCATGAGCAGAAAAACTGCCAGGCTCCTGGCTTAGGGAAAGCGGTGCCAATGCTCTGGCAGCATCCCAGAGCCCTCACACTGCCCTCCAAAAGCCACACAAAATGGAGACACTCCGTAATCTTTCATAAAATGGCCGCCTGTCTGAGGCTATTTAGTGCTCCCACATGGATATTTGTAATTTTGTGGCACTTCGTCTTTTGCAGATAACTTTTAAATTTGCAGAAAGTTGTATAAGTAATTAATACTCTATCTCTCAAAGGTAACGTGAATGTTGCCTAACAGAAATGAGGGAGACACAGGTACACATCTATGTGTTGCACAGTGTTGGGGAGCAAAGAGGAGGGGGCAATTACAGAGGTGAGGTGGAAATCACTTTCTGCTCTTGCAAGGCTGTTAGGTCATGTGGGGGAATAAATAAACAAATGGAGAGATGAGGAAACTCAGTCTTCATTTATTTATACTTCTCCCCATACACCTACCTGTGCAGAACTGTGATTGCGACAGCTGTCTTTGGGAAAAGAGCACTTGTGCTGCCCAACCAAAGACAAATAAGATGGGTGGACTTTGCATAGCTCAGTTGGTTAGAGTGTGGTGCTGATAATGCCACGGTTGCACAATTGATCCCCATATGGGACAGCTGCATATTCCTGCATTGCAGGGGGTTGGACTGGATGACCCTCAGGGTCCCTTCCAACTCTACAGTTCTATGATTCTATGGTTAATTTTTCTGCTCCCAATGCTTAGCGCCCTCAAGGGGATTTTCTTTATTATAGATCTTACTGCTGTCACCCCTTGGTCCTAGAGTCCTTCCCTCCTTCCCAAATATGGGCAAGCACTTCTTAGGTTTCCGGCTTTATGTAAGGCAGTGCCAGGGCTCTAGCATAACCCAGAGCCCTTGAGCCACCCTCTCCAAAAGCCAGACAAAATGGAGGCGCTCTCTGATCTTTCATAACATGGTGGCCTTGCGAGTCTGCTCTTTAGCGCCCCCAAGGGGATCTTCTTAATTTGGCACCCTGTGCAGAGAAAATGCTGGCACCACTCTCAATCCTGCACTGAGCAAGAAGGCTGGCCCTAGAAGGAAGGTGTAGGCTTCTTGCAAGGTCCTAGAACCCTTCTCTCCCTCCCAAAGCTGGGCAAGCACTTACTCGGCATTACTTAGGGTCATAAAACTGACAAGATATTTACTTACCTTTCACATATTGCTGCAGCTGTTATTTCATAGCACAGATAATTTTAAAATTTGCACTTTTTCTCTAAAAGCATGGCTGTAGAAGTAAACAGTAGCATAGCTAACAGGTAAGGTGAGATGTTGTTTCCTAAAAGTTTAATTACATAATCAAGGGGGGAAAGCAAATTTTGTGAAGTGAGGGAGACACAGAAACACACACACACACACACACGAGAGAGAGAGAGAGAGAGAGAGAAGGGGACCAGTGAGGAAGGAGGCTTAAACAACAGGCCAAGTTTTAGTTTTATTTTATTTAACTCAAAAGTTTTAACCCCAGTTCATTTTTCTCCAGGACTAGCAGCGGCTTCCAAGGAAGCCCAGCTGAGGGCAGCAGTCGTTCAAAAGGCAGGGCTGGACAGCCACATGGCAGCTTTTGTGAGGCTAGACATAATGGGCTTCCTGCATCGGAGGCCTCCCTCAACCACCTTAAAAACAAGAAGCTCATGGCCTCAATATTACTGAGGAAAGTTTCTGGGTAGGCTCCTTTCTTCAGCGCCTGTTCTCGTGGATTGCTCCCATATGCAAGAGGCAGGAGAGAGCTGAGGTGCCAGAGCAACAGGGGCAACAGGAATCAGGAGAAAAGCAATGACTTGCTTCAGTTTTCCCCACATCATGATTTTTACACAGCATGATTTTTACACAAAGACATCATGAATTGCAATATATTGCCACATCACCTGTTATGAAACCGTTAGCATGTTGTGGATTTTAAACTGTTTTTGGATGATGTAGCAATTCATCCCCCAGCCCTTTTTTAGATTTATTCAGCACATATCCCTTTTCTTAAAACAACACTTTCTGGCTGCAAGAAAGTATTGTATATGCTGCTTCAAAACTTTATCCCTTAAAGATACTATTTTTTCCTTTTAGTATTTTACAGTGGTGGAGGAAGCCGCTCGGGCACCTGGGGCAGCACACCCAGGGGCAGGCCAATAGGGGTGGGGTGCACCATGGGGCCTGCGGAGTCTGCCTGCCTCCTCCCACTCAGCTGCCCTACACCGTTTGGGCACTGCGGAGCCTGCGCACTTTTGTCACTCCCTTCAGTGGTGACACCCAGGGCAGACCGCACCCACCGCACCCACCGCACTCCCTTCCTCTGCCCCTGCTTACAGCTGTTTTGTGTCATTTGAGTGGGAATTTGTGTTTTGCAGCTACTTGCTGTGGGGCCGGTAATGGGAATCAGTCTTGCTGAGCATTTTCTTATCCAATCCAAACCTTTGTTAAAAAGTCCACATAAGTTATTAGCCAAACCTCTCTGCCCTGTGTTAGGCACATCAGCACCCTGAAACCATGAAAAGAACCCAAATATCTTCCAGTTTATGTGTGATTGTTTGGCTGCTATCCTTTAATCACCCCAGCTAAGTGACTCTTTACGTGCCTGTTCCATACACCATTCTGGGACCTGTTGCCATTTTCTGGGACCTGTTGCTGGGCTATAGCTCCTGTCTTCCCTGCTCCTTGGCTGGGGCTGGTTGTAGTCTCAGTCCAACAATGGCTGGAGGGCCAGAGTTTCCCCATCGCTGCTCTAAGATTAGGCAAAAGAGGATGGGAGCTTGACCACAACCTACTGAATTTGTGAGTGTGAAAAATCAAATCAGGATTTTTTCATGTAGTCCTAAAGCATTAGGCATTGTGGCATACTCTTCCTCCTGTCTCCACAATGGCTCTTACAATAGCACTCCTTGTGTGTCTAATATGTAGGAAGCTCAGATTTGTTGCTGCTCTTCCTTACTGTGCTGTTCCCCACCTTTAATTCTTCTAGGATGGGCAAAAAGTTTGCATCTTGGATGACCAAAGGTTTGCGGCTCAGCTGCTCCCAAAATACTTCAAACACAACAACTTGTCCAGCTTCATTCGTCAGCTCAACTTGTGTAAGTACCAGATCTCTGTGTGTTGTTTTCTGTCCATGATTTTCAGTTAGTTCACATTATAAACACAAATGATCCAAAACTGTTCTCTAAATAAAAATCAAATGATTCTCTGTTGTAGTTGAACAAAACTGAAATTGTGGAACCATTAAACATCCCTTCCCAAAAGTTCCTAGTAGGTGTTATTCCAGATATTTTTTTTTAAGCCTATCATTCCAACAGTTGATATGCCCAATTAACTAGGATATAATTAGTCAATGCACAACTCTTAAGATTCATGTGAGTTGGCCACAAGTGCTGGAGGAAACAGCAGCAATTCTCTCAAATGATGATTATATTGCTTAAAGCTCAGGTGCCGGGAGCAAGGCCTAGTCTGAGGCACCACCACCAGGGGGAAGAAACAAAGAAAGAGGAAAAATAAAACAACGAGTCTCTCAACAGAAGTAGTTTTTTAGGCTTCAAGTAGAATTAGATCAATTACAAGAATTGAAGGCAACAACTGCTTTCTCTGTTGCATGTTTTAGAGTGAAGCATATTCCGATGCACAGTATCCTCTGTGATGCATTGCTGTGAAGAGGGTTTCCTGTGAGGGGAATGTTTTGAAAAGCCCTGCCCTAAAGATAACCATAACTTTAAAATGGGGTGGGGTGGAGAATAGTCCCATATCCCTCAACAAATGTTCTTGTATTGAAATACCGATTTCTAGCTAAAATGAAGAGATGATCTCGGGAAAGAGTGCAGGCATTGTTGAGTTGGACACAATAAGAGTTTCCTGGTCTTAAAACAAAGCAGGGGAATGGCAGGAGGTGTCACAATTTGGAACATGGGTGGCATAATTCGTGGATGAAGCTTGTCTTTATCCAGCATCATTAATCACCTCCTCTTTTGAAATTTAGACTTGTGGCTTAAAAGAAGTGAAGGGGAATAGCGTTTCACCACTCTGTTGTGAAGTTCACTGAGGGCCTCTCAGACACTCTTGGGACAGTCAGGTGTTCTCAGCCCAATCTGCTTTGCAGAGCTGCTACAAGGGTAACATGGGAGGCCGGGTAGGACCACCTCTGTGTGCTGTTCTGAGCTCCTTGGAGGAAGAGGGGAATAGGAGGGCATGGATGAACTAACTAAAAGCACCACAAGTAATATCAATTTCTAGAGATGTAGCCGTGCTAGTCTCGCAGAAAAACCCTCAAGAGTCCTGTGGCCCTGGTCAGGTGCATTTGATGAATTTGGTTGTGGTCCATGAAATCTTGCACCATAATAAATTTGTTGGTCCTGAAGGTGCCACACAACTCTTTGCTTGATGGTACTAAAACAACAATCAAAACAAGCAAGCCAAGATGCTGCAGTTCTTGCTGTTAGAGGGCATGATGAGTGGCAGGTGTGGTTCCCTTCGTTGCTTCCCTCTTCCCTTACCTGTTTACCTTCTATAATCATTGGTCAAAAGAAATGACCATGGGCAGGTTTGTTTCAATTACGTGGCCCTCCTCTCTCTGAAAAGTATGTTTTCAGGTGTCTTATTCTGTGTTGTTATTTATTTCATAAAATTGAAACACTGCTTGATTGTAAAAAAGTGAAGACAAAAACTCAACACAGTTTACAAAAAGGATACAACAATAAAATTATCAGCAAGAAAAATGAATAATTTAAGACATTCGAAAAGTTAAAACAGCAATAGACTAAAAACAAATTAAAACACACGTCAGCTTTTTTTAAACGTAAGGACAGGCTTGTCTAAACAAAAATGTTTTTAGCAGGTGCCAAAAAGATTACAGGGAAAGTGCTTGCCTGATGTCAATAGGCAGGGAGTTCCAAAGTATAGGTGCTACCGCAAGAAAAAGATCTAGTTCTTGCAGATGTGGAACAGGTGTTATATGGCACCTGTAAAAGTACCAGTTCTGCAGATTGAAGCCATTATGTGGGGCAAGGCAATCTTGCAGGTAAATTGGTTCCAAGCTGTTAAGGGCTTTGTATACCAATAGCAACACCTTGAACATGGATTGGTATATTGTTATATTCTTACTAAGGAAGGTGAACAGATCTAGAATCATATCGCCTCTTGGGAGGAGAAACTAAAGAGCATTCATCTCCTTTAATGCCTTCACAGATGGCTTCAAGAAGGTAACGTCAATGAGAAATGAAACAATGGTCACTTGCAACAACTCTACCAAGGAGTATCAACACCCACGGTTCCAAAAAGGGAAACCTGAACTGATGGCGAGCATCCAACGGAAGGTATTGCCCCCCCCCTGTTCACAACCTGGTGAAGACCTTAGCTCTTAAATGCAGCCACAGTGATGTTGGTGCCACACACAGGATTCCTGCTTGTGCATGTGTGTGTGTGAGGGGCAGCATTGCCAATAAGCCTCCATAGCAGAGCTTACAGATGCCTCATTATTGCATGACTGATTCCCCATCACCTTCAGATTATTTGGGTATATAGGCTTGACCAGCCTTTCTCAACCTGGTACCGTCCAGACATCTTGGACTCCAGCTCCCATCAGCCCCAGCCAGTATGGCCAATGGTCAAGGATGATGGGAGTTGTTATCCTTCAAGGTGTGAAGGGGCCAGGCTGAGGAAGCCTGAACTTTACTGCGACTGGCTGTTACAGCCATATATAACAGTCATTTTTGTATGCTGCCTTCTGAGATTATTAAGAAATTGCAGTGTTTTATTTGAAAAATATATTGGTTATATAGGCTGAAATATACACACTCCAAGTAATGTTCAAGGCTTCCAACTGTTTTCACTCATCTGTGCAATAGTCTTGCAAGGATGGCTCTTGTTGTTTGAATAGTCAGAGGTCAATAACTTTTGGCTGGCCTTAGCAGCCTAGTTCTCTTGCTGCTTCTGGACCGGTGTGGGGGCAAGTTCTTCACTGTGTCATCATTCTGCATCTCTGAGGGGGCTCCTCTGACCTGTTGGGGCAATCCTCTCGTCCCCAGGAGTGAACAGGGCTCTCACTGTTCCTCTAATATTTTCTGAGGGTCAGTGCAAAGTTGATGAAACCCTCCACTTTCTTTCCAAGCCTGATTTCAGATCATTTTAGTGGGTGTGTCTCACAGTGACTCAGGGCAGGGCCTTCTCTGTAGTGGTGCCTCGATTGTGGAATTCCTTCCCCTGCAGGTGCAAAAGGCCACTATGCTGGTTCAAGAGGAGGGGAGGATGACCTTGCGTGTGAACCCAAGGTTCATCTGTGGGGTGGGAAGCTGTGGTTTTCCTTTTGTGTGAGTCAGGCCTGTGCGAGGGAAATATCAGTGGCCTCTCAAGTGTTCCCTAAACATTTTTTCCAAACTGTACAAACCCACTTAAAGGGACAGATAGGTAGCCATGTTGGTCTGCCATAGTCAAAACAAAAAAAATTCCTTCCAGTAGCACCTTAAAGACCAACTAAGTTAGTTCTTGGTATGAGCTTTCGTGTGCATGCACACTTCTTCAGATACCTTCTTTGTATCTGAAGAAGTGTGCATGCACACGAAAGCTCATACCAAGAACTAACTTAGTTGGTCTTTAAGGTGCTACTGGAAGGAATTTTTTTTTCCACTTAAAGGGCTCACTTTTGAATGATGCTTGAATGAACTGGCAGTTTTCTTACTGAGGCACTCAGAGGCCATTTGTTTCCAAAATTATAGAGCTGCAGTTGTGCTGCTGCTGCCAGCTGAGGTGGTATATACACCAGATTTGGGATTTCTCCTGTGATAGATAGAGGTGAGGCTGGATGGCTTCCAAAGTCCTCGCTCTGCAAAAGCCAGTCCCTTAACTGCATTTGTTCCCTGCTTAAACAATTACTTGTCTCTAAAATCAGTACCTGCAATCTGATTCTGTCACAGGTGTATACATGCAAGGAGCCCGCAGCCAGCTCAACAAAAGACCAGCAGGCAATGCTCGCCGAATTCCGGGCCATGAGAGAACAGCAGGATGGCATAAGCACCAAGCTGGATACCGTGACCAGGTGTCAACATTTCTTCTGCTGAGTTTGTACTGTCTTGTAATGAGAGCCACTCTGCTCATTTTAGGCAACATCTTCAACTTATCTGCATTTGCAAAGCTATAGGTAGGGTGGGGGCGGCATAGCAGGATTTGGCACCACGGTGAAGTGTGATGCTGAGTGCAAAAATAAGCAGAATCTGGGTAATTTACACACAGTTTTCAGTGCCTTTTTCAGCATTATGGCTAAGTAGCTTGTAGGTACCATGAAGCTTCTATCTGTGCTATGTTTTGAGCTTCACTTGTGTGCCATGTTATCTGTTTGCAGAGCTCAGCTTAGGGCAGAGACCGAAATGTCCTGTTTAATTTCTGGGTAATTCAGCAGCATTAGTACTTTCACACTTGGCTGTTTCTCGCTTGCATTTAGGCGGTTCTGAAGTGGCCGTTAGAAAGAGCCATTCTATACCACTGGCATCTGTCTGTCTTGAGAGACAATGGAGTGTGCCTCCAGGGGTGAAGTCAAACTGCTGGAGAACCTATAGCTCATTTCTAATAAGGGCATGCGAGGAATCCTGCTGGATCAGGCCTAAGACCCATCTTGTTCAGCATCATGTTCTCACAGTGGCTATCCAAATGCCTCTGAGAAACTCAGAATTGTGAGCAACTGATATTCAGAGGCCTGCTATTTCCAGTACTGGAAGCACACAGTTATCATGATAACATTATTTGTTCATGACTAATATACCAAATAAACTTATCCGCCATTAATTTGCCTAATCCCATTTTAAACCAGTCACATTTGTTGATGATCACTACATCTTGTGCTTAGCAGATTTCATAGTTTACGCACTGCGTGAATAAATAATAACTTTTTTCTGTCTTGAAGGAAAGTGCCTTATATTGAACCATACACTTTCCCTCAGCTCTGTCTCCAGTTGCGTAGCCAACATGGTGCCCCCTAGATGCCCTATGCAATGTAGGCCCAAGCTATCTGAAAAGCCTTATTCCCTCATATAAACCTGCCCCGAACTCTAGATTTAGAGAGGCTGCTTCTAGGCTTTGAAGCTCTCTCCCCAAAGAAGCTAGACTGGCTCCCATGTTGTCCTTCCAGTGGTGGGGGAAGATGGATTTATTCTGACAGTCTTTGGGGAGCTGTTTTTTTAAGGAAATGTTTTTAACAGTGCTGTTGTGTTTTTATTATTTAAAAGATAATCATTAAAAGGTAACTGAGATCTTATAGAATTGAAACAATATAAAAACAAGTCTATTAAGAGTTACTTTTTAATGATTATCTTTTCTGTTTTTAGATTTTTTTTTGTATTTTATCTTTGTCAGTGTGTCAGTCCCAGTTAGCAAAAGAATGTGAGATACAAATAAATGAAATAATAATTAATAATGGATATTTTTAACTACAGTTCCCAGCAGCCCCAGCAAGCATGGTCTAGTATTAAGGGATGATAGGAGTTGTGATCCAAACATCTGGAGGGGGCACCAACTTCTGCTTTAGGAGGGTACAGTACATATGCATGTCTAACCTTTGCGATTTCAACTTTATGCTGTTGAAGACCAGCTGGTTGAAATCAAACAAATTAATTGCACAGAAGGTGGAGAGCTTAAAAGCTTTTATTGCATAGGGGTTTTTTTCTGGCATGGAAAGAGCTTTTAATCTCCCTGTCTTGCTTACCTGGCTCTCATGAAATCTTGGATGGCCCCATGAGATCTCACAGCCCAGTAAGCAGAGAGCTTAAAAGCTCTCTACCTTCCTTTGGTGTGCTGGCTCCAGAAGATTGCTCATGCATGGGCATTTCAAGTATATGTGTTTTTGCATATACACACAGCCCCTGCAGAAGATGCAATTGTACTGTACCTTCCAACTCAAGGACTGGTTGAACAGCAAGGGAGGTGTATGTGAAATTCCCCAGAACCAACCCAGCAGGCCTGGCATGATGAGGAACAAGAGCTGGTTAACTCAAGGGTCGTCAGGATTGGTGGTCCAAGTACATAATCACTGTTTTTCTGACACATCAAGCTGAGGTTTTCCACTGAGTGCGGCACTGAAAAGCAGCTGTGTCTACTATGCTTGTATGAAGTGGGTACATTGCCTTCCCACTTCTCATTTCTGGTTCTATATCTAAAAAAGCAGCATGAAATGTCCCCTGACGTTGTGCCATCATAAGGCAGGTATGTGACCATCTTCCCCTCTTCCTTAGTTCTTCTTACCTCCCTCTGTGCCTCTTCTTTCAGGGACACCACCTCAGTCCTTGAGGGAATGGGCTCTCTGCAACAGAAGGAAGACCAGCAGCAGGACGTCTTATCTCAGGTACCAGTAAACAGGCTTTGCTTTTCTCCTGATGTTCCAGAGCAGCCTATGCCAACTAACTGTCCTCCTGATGTGTTTTGGACTATGGCTTCCATCAGTCCTGGTCAAATGGAAGTGGCATCTGGAGGGCAACACCCCTGTTTGCAAAGGCTGCACTATGGCATACCAGAAGTAGATGAGTAAAATACACAGAGATAGATGGTAATCTTTATGTCCTGTTAAGGCAGGGTAATTTAGCATAGTGGCTAAAGCTGAGCTGTGAATTTAGAAGTCCCCCCATTCAGAACTCTCCTAAATGCTCTAGGAGGATTATGCAAACCACTGCCTGCCTCGCCTCACCTCCATAATATGCAGTATGGGGATGATGCTTATTTGCTTAAAAGTATTTATGTACCATTCAATATTTTCAAAAACCTAAACAGTGTACAAGACACGATCTAAAACCAGTAAATGAGCAATATAAAAACAAATGAAACAGATATTCAGAGGATTCAAACACACAAATATGCTTCCCTGTTCCATGCAGCTTGCATAAAATCATTAACAAATAAGGCAGTCTCTGCCTGCAGGCTTGTTATCTAAAAGACACAACACAAGAAGAAAAGGCAGGCAGACAAGATGGAGGAAGAGGAAAACTAGCACACCAGTAGGAGAACACTTCAATCTCCCAGGACATTCTATACAAGATCTCAAAGTAGCTGTTTTACTACAAAGGAATTTCAGAAATAGACTGGAAAGAGAAGCTGCTGAATTGCAACTCATTACCAAACTTAAAACCACGGAGAGACCTGGTCTGAACAAAGACATTGGATTCTTATCTCATTATACATGACAAAGCCATTTTTCACCTTCTCACCCCTTGCTTTTTCCTGTAAGACCTATTGCAGTCGTTAAGAGTCGTCAACAGGCTCATCACAGCTATCTGCCAATCACCCATTCCCACCACCCTTCTGAGTAATACCCCTCCCCACCTTCTCACTATATAGAAGGATCTGGCAACTTCTGTTTCAGTGTATCTGAAGAAGTGTGCATGCACACGAAAGCTCATACCAAGAACTAACTTAGTTGGTCTTTAAGGTGCTACTGGAAGGAATTTTTTTGTTTTAGCACACTTGGGTCACTAGTCCTAAATGTTACTGAGTAATTACTGCAATGACTAGTCTGAATGGAGCTGAGTGGAGATGGTCTTTCTTTGATGCACCCTGACGGAACTGCTTCTGCCAAGTGGCAGTTGAAGGGCGGGAAGAGCCCATGCTGGCTGCTGCATGGCAAATGCTTTTTCAAACTCAGGCCTTCTTCGGTAGCTTGCAAACCTGAACAGGGCAGGTGTGTCTTGATAGCTAACTCTCAGTGGGAACTGTTCCCTGACCCTGTGGCAATGGCTAAAAGGAATACATGCCTTCTAACATTCACTCACTCACTCACTCATTCATTCATTCATTCATTCATTCTCTCTCTACCTCTTTGGCTTCAGATCCTCCAGATCATTATGAATTGCATGTCTGAGAAAGGCAGGCAGGATGCCCAAAGGAAAAGGTAATTCTTACTACTTTCTTCTCCTGTTGCCCAAAATGAACCTATAAAATAATTCCCCCTATTTAGTTGGGGAAAGAAGCCAAAGCTTGTATTTGCAGCATGCAGTGCTTTGACCTCTGGAAAACGTCTTAGACAAGACCAGCAGAAAGGGGTTTGCCGAGGCACTAAGACCCCAGGTACCCTCAGTGGTGCTTCTTTGAAATATGGTGCTTTCTGTTCATTTCACACTGTCACCACACTATTTTAAATATTGTGGCTTCATCTCTCTGATTTCTTATATCTGGTTTTGTGAAGTATTTGTTGTGGGCGTGTATGGAGATAGTGTTTAAGCTGTTTAGGGATGCTTTAGATACTGTGGCTTTCTTGCTTACCTGGAAAGGTCACATGAAGCTGCCTCATACTGAGTCAGACCATAGACCAATACCTACCTGAGAATACCCTCCTACCTGAGAATATTTTAACAGGAGATGCTACAGATTGAACCTTCAAGAAATGTGTGTGCCTCACCACTAAGAAGCTCCTTACCCCATGGTCCATGTTCACCTGTTACATCCTTGTCCTTTTCTCTGTACATCCCCACCTTTTATAGATGCTTGGGGAGCCATAGCTCGCAAGAGCTTGCTATTTTTACTTGGAGTGTTTGTGCCTGGTTCTTCAGCCCAAAAAGCTTCCAGAGTGGCTTACATATAATCAAACAGGACAGTCCCCACCCAAAGGCTTATGAACTTAAAACAACAACAACAACAACCCCGACAACGTAGAAGGGAAAAGGGAAGGTGGGGCAGAGAAGAAAACCAAAACTCAAACACCGATTTCTAAACAATTGTTCCTATAATGCCCAACTGACACAGTTGAGGACCAGCAGGTGTTTGGTGGAACTGGGCCTCCAGCAAAGCTGACGGAGTGAGCTTCCTGCTTCCCTTCTCTCTCCCCACTGAGGTAGCCTGATGGAAGGGCTGCCCACAATTGATGGATGAGGGAAAGGAAGGCCGGAGGCGCTGGCCTGTCAAAAAAAGAAAAAAGAAAAGAAAAAAGCTTGGTAGGAAATTACGCATTTTAAATAATTTCACAAGACTGGCTTTCAGATTTTACTGCAGAAATCATACACGACAGAAAGCCTTTGTGAAGATACTTTATCAATCATCATAATATGATTGATATTAACAATACAGTAGTAAGTAGTAAAGGGATCTCCCATGCTGCAAAAGAGGGTAAAATCTTGAGCAAGTGGATAAGATTTAGGCCAGGGGTCTGCAACCCGCGGCTCCGGAGCCGCATGTGGCTCTTTTACACCTTTGCCGCGGCTCCGGAGCGGATACTAGCGAGGGGAGGAGGTGCATTGTGCGCCCCGAAACTCCCCACTGTGGCGGGCGCTGTACTGGCTGTGACGTCGCATGGGGGCGGTGCGTGCATTAGTCACGCACTGTCCCGACGTCACCTTCCCGGTTTTGCGGCTCCCAGTTGTTTTTTCTTCGGAAAAAGGGTCCAAGTGGCTCTTTTTGTCTTAAAGGTTGCAGACCCCTGATTTAGGCCAACCTAAATGCCTCCTCCATTTCTTCTGCAGGTTAACCCAAGTAAGGATTGCCTTATGTGGAAGACACCTGCCCAGATGATTTTATGAATTAGATGTTTTGGCCCTTCATTTCTTTCTAAGCATGTCATAAGAATTTGGTTATTTATGTGTGTGTGTGTGTGTGTGTGTGTGTGTGTGTGTGTGTTTCTCTCTCTCTCACTCAGACATCAGAATGATGCTTCGGAAGCCCCTCGTCCAAAGAATAGCCATCCACAGGCTCACAGTGCTAGGGAAGATCGTGAAACAGTAAGCTTTTTAAAAAATAAAAAAATAATTCTCCAGTTTTACTTTGTGTACAATAGCCCAGGTAAAAGATTTAACCAGTATGACACTAGTCAGACATTTTATTTATTTCATAAAATTTATACACCTGCTTGATGGTTGCGGGAGGGGGGGGGGTTAGGGAGAGAACATCAAGAGAAAATTAAAAATATCATCTGTAAAAAAGCACTTAAAACCTTCAAAGATTAAAATAAGGTAAAATCAGATTAAAACATATATCAACATTCTATATGTCTGGGTAGGCTTGCCTAAACAAAAGTGTTTTTAGCAGGCAGGCTGAAAAGAATACAGTCATACCTCTGAAGTTGAACGGAATCCGTTCCGGAAGTCCGTTCGACTTCCAAAATGTTTGGAAACCAAGGTGTGGCTTCCGATTTGCTGCAGGAAGATCCTGCAGCCAATCAGAAACTGCAGGAGCCCCGCTCCGGGCGTTCGGGTTCCAAAGAACGTTCGCAAACTGGTACACTCACTTCCGAGTTTGCGGCGTTCGGGAGCCAAAATGTTTGAGTCACAAGGCGTTCAGGATCCAAGGTACAACTGTACAGTGAAGGCACCTGCCTGGTGTTAGTAGGGAGTTCTAGAGTGTAGGTGTTGTCACACTAACACATCAGTTTCTTACTCTTGTCTCTTGCAGGCAGCTGTTCCAGGACACAGTGCAGACCACAGAAACTTGGTTGTGACCCATAACAACATGGAGGGTGAAGCAGGGGATGCTGATGGTGCAAATAATGGGCAGGCTGTAGTGCGTGAGCCCCATGGGACTGGGTGAGTGTTATGTACTGAAGTTCTCACCCTGGGCCAGCAGGGGGATACTGTAGATAGTTCAGGTCCACATATGCAAATAAGGGATCGAAAGTGACTTTCAGTGATTGGATAGTTACAGAAAATGGTTACTGTTGCGTTCTAGTGGAGCTCTATATAAGCAGGCTGGCTGAACCCTTCAGTTCAGTTCTGTTCTGGCCTGTGAATAAACAAGAGCTGTTTGAAGAATCGCTGTGTCGTCTGATATGTTCACCCACAACTTAACAGTGAGGATGCAGAATTCAAAACGTGCATTGTGGTTTAGACAGGCAGGTTGCCTGGCTGTTTCTCAGTAAACAATTCAGAGGCTGAAGACGGTGCTGCAACCCTTTTTGCTTTGGGTGATATATGCATAGAGTGTCTCTCTTTGGCTGACTGCTTGGAAACCCCAAAATGCCAATAAATTGATACATGCTTCCCTGCCTCCCAAAGATTTGATTGTTGCTTCTTGCATAAGTAAGTGAAAACAATCAATATTCAGCAATCCTACCTAGAAGCCGCAAACATCTATTTAATTACATTTAACTTTACAGTCATTTTAGCTTTTAAACGAAGGCATCATTCCATAAGTTGCTGTGTGTTCTCGGAGGCCCTAAACCACGTTCTGTCAGTGTTGCATATGCAGTGCTTTTTTTCTGGGGGGACGCATACCCCTAAACATTTTGTGAATCTAAGTTTGGCCTCATTGAGGGGCAGTATTTCATTATGCGTAGGAAAATGAAAGCACCCCTAAACGTTTTTTAAAAAGAAAAGCAGCACTGTGCATATATGTAAAGAGAAGTATGCCAGGTTGATTGAAAAGTATTGATTTTCTTGTCCGTTTCACTCTTTCAAACATGGGTTGTCAGTTTTTCTGTTAACGTTAAGTACGAAAGTTGTGGAGTGTTTTATTTTGGCAGAATACTGTACTTTCTAGTCACTTCTTCTTTAAAAGAAGCTAGTAGAGCTGGCAAAGTGTGCAAGGAAATGAGTAAGTACAAAACTGACTGAGTTTTGCTTGAACAAAGCTTGGAAGGATCCTAAACAGAGTCTTCCCCTGTGTTGGAGATCCTTGTAACTGGAGATGCTGAGTACTGAATCAGGGCTCTCTGCATGGAACCCTGTGCTTTGGTGCTAGGTTAAGTACCAACCTGCTAAGATTACACTTCTTGTTGTTGTATAGTCGTGTCCAACTCTTTGTGACCCCATGGACCAGAGCACGCCAGGCACTCCTGTCTTCCACTGCCTCCCGCAGTTTGGTCAAACTCATGTTCGTAGCTTCAAGAACACTGTCCAACCATCTCGTCCTCTGTCGTCCCCTTCTCCTTGTGCCCTCCATCTTTCCCAACATCAGGGTCTTTTCCAGGGAGTCTTCTCTTCTCATGAGGTGGCCAAAGTATTGGAGTCGCAGCTTCAGGATCTGTCCTTCCAGTGAGCACTCAGGGCTGATTTCCTCAAGAATGGATAGGTTTGATCTTCTTTCAGTCCATGGGACTCTCAGGAGTCTCCTCCAGCACCATAATTCAAAAGCATCAATTCTTCGGCGATCAGTCTTCTTTATGTTCCAGCTCTCACTTCCGTACATCACTACTGGGAAAACCATAGCTTTAACTATACGGACCTTTGTTGGCAAGGTGATGTCTCTGCTTTATAAAATGCTGTCTAGGTTTGTCATTGCTTTTCTCCCAAGAAGCAGGCTTCTTTTAATTTCATGACTGCTGTCACCATCTGCAGTGATCATGCAGCACAAGAAAGTAAAATCTCTCACTGCCTCCATTTCTTCCCCTTCTATTTGCCAGGAGCTGATGGGCCCAGTGGCCATGATCTTCATTTTTTTGATGTTGAGCTTCAGACCATATTTTGCGCTCTTCTCTTTCACCCTCAATAAAAGTTTCTTTAATTCCTCCTCACTTTCTGCCATCAAGGTTGTGCCATCTGCATATCTGAGGTTGTTGATATTTCTTCTGGCAATCTTAATTCTGGCTAGGGATTCATCCAGCCCAGCCTTCCGCATGATGAATTCTGCATATAGGTTAAATAAGCAGGGAGACAATATACAGCCTTGTCGTACTCCTTTCCCAATTTTGAACCAATCAGTTGTTCCATATCCAGTTCTAACTGTAGCTTCTTGTCCCACATAGAGATTTCTTAGCAGACAGATGAGGTGATCAGGCACTCCCATTTCTTTAAGAACTTGCCATAGTTTGCTGTGGCCGACACAGTCAAAGGCTTTTGCATAGTCAATGAAGCAGAAGTAGATGTCTTTCTGGAACTGTCTAGCTTTTTCCATAATCCAGCGCATGTTTACAATTTGGTCTCTGGTTCCTATGCCTCTTCTAAATCCAGCTTGCACTTTTGGGAGTTCTCGATCCACATACTGCTTGAGCCTACCTTGTAGAATTTTAAGCATAACCTTGGTAGCTTGTGAAATGAGTGCAATTGTCCGGTAGTTGGAGCATTCTTTGGCACTGCCCTTCTTTGGGATTGGGATGTAGACTGATCTTCTCCAATCCTCTGGCCAATTCTGAGTTTTCCAAACTTGCTGGCATATTGAGTGTAGCATCTTAACAGCATCATCTTTTAAAATTTTAAATAGTTCAGCTGGAATACCATCACTTCCACTGGCCTTGTTATTTGCAGTGCTTTCTAAGGCCCATTTGACTTGTATAAACTAGTACAGAGTTCATGAATGGAGAAACCAGTTCCTAAACTGAAGTTACTGAAAATACAGACATGTGGGGGATATTCAGTGTGAATGAACAAGTGGCTGCCAGCGAATGGAAGCACTTCCTCATAATTAATCTGTTTCTTTCAGTGAGTTCCATAGATTTGGTCATAGCCACTAGGCTCAATTTCTTGTTGAAAGTATTAAGTTACCCCCTGGCAGCCAGCAATGTGGTGTTTACATTCAGAAGCCTCAGGAAAGTGTCGATGCTGTGGCACAACAGGGGCTGGAGATAATCATTTTAGGAGGCTTGTGGATTTTCCATGGGGTATCAAGTTAATGGGCCAGCGGTCTTAGCATGCCATTTATGTTGTGGCTTGCTTAGGGTTATAGTTAGCTTTGTATAAAATGAAATAGAAGTGGTGGCGTGTTGCTTTGACTATATTATATGCTAAGAAAAAGAAGCAAGGGTACTGGATTCTCATCTTGTGCCTGTGGCATGTCCCTTAGGGAGGCCCAAGTGCCTGCAACAGGAGGCACTCCTGCCAATAGCAGACTTCAGTCTGTGGACACTCCACCCCAGACCAAGGCAAAAAGAGAGCTTCTGTGAAGCTGCTTAACACCTTGGCAGCCCATGTCAAGGCAAAAAAGACCAAGATCAAGGCAAAAAAGAGAGGTTCTGTGGAGCTGATTGACACCTTGACGGCTCATGTCCGTGGAAAACAAGCACGGCTCATCACTTCTCTTGACAGGTGCACCTAGTTTCATGGGGGCCAGTCTGATTCCTTGAGTTGGGCATTCTGGTAAATCAGCTAGCCCAGCAGTTTCCAAAGTGGGTGGTATCCCCTCCTCATAGGTGGTGGGATTACCTAGGCAGGTGATAAGAGGCAGGTGGTTGCTAAAGGTGTCAGTAGTTTTCAAACCTTGAAAAACTGGTGTCACTGGATCAAATTCATCAATTTTGTTGAATTAAACTAAATAGTTTCAATTGAACTTTGAATAAATATGCAATTAATTGTTCCTGTTTTGAGTTTTATTGAGTTTTAGCTTCCTTATTGGGTTACGCAAAGCAGTATTCTGAGCGATGCTCTGGGGATGAGTTTATGGAACCAAGGGGGCAGTTGCCAGGAAAAGTTTGAAATGCCAGACCAGTGGTTCCCAAAGGATGATTCATTAGTGGCCTTGGGTGATCATCTAATGCAGGGATGAGCTGACTTCGAGGGCTCATCCACACTTTCGTATATGCCATGATAGGCACAGGTCCATGATTTATAGGTGTGTTTGCTGCTGAACAAGAAGAAACATCAATTGGGTTTTCTGTGGATTGGTGTTTGTTCCACTTCAGTGATAAGCAACAGGTTTTCTCAGGGAAAGCACTGAGGCAAGCAGAAAACCGCTCAGACCAGTCCTACAAATAAGGGGCCTGTGCCTGGAAATCATGGCACAAATGGAAGTGTGAGTAAGCTAAAAGTCTTGCATGATCAAGTCCCCTCTTCTCTCCCATCAGGTTTCAATACCACTGTTCCACCTGTATGTTAAATTTACAAAGCAGAAGTCAAGGGCCTCTTCAAGATATTTTCACAGTTAAGGCATAATTCAACCAGGGTTAAGTGATGCTGTGTATGTGTCCTTGCTTAAGAGCAGCCTGCCTTAATGTGGTGCCCTGCAGAGCAGCCAGCACAGGTTGGGAGAGACTGCCTGCAAACATGAAGAAGTGCCTTTCTGAGATCACATTTAAGCTGAGTCCTCTTGGCAAAAATCCCAGCTTTGTTGCTGACCGATAGCTAAGTTCATATGGATCTACATATTTCAAAGCAGGTTCTCAACCACTGAGCTGTGGCTCTGCCCATCAAAGCTAACCTTTGCACCTATTTTTATTGTTAAGGCTAGTTGGGAAAGGGCCATAGCCTACTGGTAGAGCATTAGCTTTGCATGCAGAAGGTCCCCAAGTTCAATCCCCAATGGTGGCTCCAAGTAAGGCTGAGAGAGATTTCCTGTCTGAAACTCTGGAGAGCCACTTCCAGTCAGTGTAGACAACACTGAGCTGCATGGACCAATTTGATTTAAGGCAAGCTACCCATGTTCTTTTGTTTTCTATTGGAAGGTGGGACATAAGCACTTTATTTAAAACAACAACAACCCTGCTACTCCACATTCCTGCCATTGAATCAAAAGATCATAGAATTGCAGAGTTGGAAGGGACCCCCAAGGCTCATCCAGTCTAACCCCCTGCAATGCAGGAATCACAGCTAAAGCACCCCTGACAGATGACCATCCAACCTCTGTTCCAAAACCTCCAAGGAAGGAGAGCCCACCACATTCTAAGGGAATTCATCCCACCATGAAACAGCTCTTTGATCAGGCTGCTTCTTTCCTTTGGCTTCTCCCATGAATGTGGCAACGCTTGCCTTTTTTCTTCTACCTATTGTTTAATTTTAGACTTTCTGCTTTTCTTCATAGAGAGGAGGGTCAACACTTCATGAATTTATTCATATCAAACACTGTGAAGATTGATACGCAGCTGAGTGAGGAGGAGCAAAACGATATCTCAAAAATACTTTCTTGGGTAAGTTCATCTTCATGTAGGCAAGTTCCTAGATTTGTAATAGTGGCACTCATTCATGCAACAAAGGACGAAAACAGCATTTTTGGATTTAAAAAAGTGGTTTGCCATTGTACTGCCATCTCGGTTGTGAATCTTGGGGGAGGGCAAGGTTTTGAAAGCTGAGGCAGCTGAATAGATCTTTGGGTTGGGGTACTTAGCTGGTTTCAGTTTTGTTATAATACACCCATTGTCTAAAATGTTTTAAATAGTTTTAAACTGTTTTTGTCTTGCATGTTTCTTGTTTTTTGTGGAATCTACCTGGGGAGAGAGGAGCTAGGAACAGCAGGCCCATCACAGTGGTTCAGGGTAGGGGGAGGAATGATGTAGGAGCTGGGGTGGGCAGGGTAAAAGGCACACGGCACAGGCAGTTGGTGACTGCCACATGCCAGTTCCTCTTTGAACTCAAGTACTTATCAGCCAGCCGTCAGGTCTATGGCTGCTGGTGCTGAATGCGAAGTTGGCTCGGAGTGAGACCATCTTCATCCATTGTTCCACTGTGGATGTGGAGGCTTGTCTACATGATATAATTGAGACCTGAGTGGGTGAGCAGGGTGGAGTTGGTCTCACCCAGTTGTGCTTACCTGGATACTTGATACTTGGTGCAGCATCAGGGCAGACTTGAGGGTCAGGGAAGGGGGTCAAAACAAAAAAAATTCCTTCCAGTAGCACCTTAAAGACCAACTAAGTTAGTTCTTGGTATGAGCTTTCATGTGCATGCACACTTCTTCAGATACACTGAAACAGAAGTTGCCAGATCCTTCTATATAGTGAGAAGGGGGGTATTACTCAGAAGGGTGGTGGGAATGGGTGATTGGCAGATAGCTGTGATGAGCCTGTTGATGACTCTTAACGACTGCAATAGGTCTCATCATCACAGCTATCTGCTCTCCTGGCTTCAGCAAAAGGAACCCGAAGCCTCTGGAGCGCAACAGGAACTCACACTGCGCTCCGAAGACTTCAGGGATAGCCGGAGGCTTTGGGTTCCTTTTGCTGAAGCCAGGAGAGCAAGACTCTCCCGGCTTCAGCAGAGAGGGAGAGCTGTGCAGCGCCCCTTCAGCCAAGCGGGAGGAGAAATGGAAGGGGCTCCATTTCTCCTGCCGCTTGGCTGAAGGGGTGCTGAGCAGAGAGGGGGAGAATTTTTCTTGTTCTCCCCCTCTAAAACAAGGTGCGTCCTATGGTCGGGTGCATCCTATAAAGCGGAAAATACAGTAACTACCAGCCAGTTGCTTATCTCCTCTTCTTGGGGAGAACAGGATGCTGGACTGGACTGGCTTAATCCAGCAGGCTCTTCTGATGTTCTTAACAGTATGTTCTATGTGAGAATCAGGAGAAAGATAGTATTTGTCATCTTTGGTTCCCCTATTTAAAGTCTCTTGCCTGATTGGTTGTCAGGGGGAACCTTATTTGGGTTGATCAAAAGTCTAATTTCTTGGTTTGTACTTTCAGACCTTGGTCCCTGAGATTCAGGATCAGAATGTGGACTCTGTGGGAGCTCTAGACTATAGTTTGGAAAACATAAGCGGCAGAGGCTTTTTCACTGACTGGCAGAGAGATGTGGGGCAGTGCTATGGGGAGAGGTGGCTCTGAGTTCACAGTCACATTTTTTGTCTCTTTTGGGGCAGCAAAATTACCTAGACTCAGTGGCCCTATCCGAACAGGTTTGCCAGATAGATAGAACAGTAGGAATAGTATTTGTGAGGGAAAAGCTCTTGGGCAGGGGTCAGCAAACATTTTCAGCAGCGGGCCGGTCCACTGTCCCTCAGACCTTGTGTGGGGCTGGACCATATTTGGGAGGGGGGAATGTACACATTCCTATGCCCCACAAATAACCAAGAGATGCATTTTAAATAAAAGGACACATTCCACTCCTGTAAAAACACCAGGCAAGCCCATAGCTGTCAACCGTCCCTTATCCCAGCACCATGTCCCATTGCTTTCCCTTATTGATGATGTCCCTTAAATTTCCCGGGTTTCATGCTCGCCCAGCTTGGGAGGGAAGCAGTGGCTCAGGGTCCTCCGCCGCGAGAGAGCACACACGCTCGAGCTGCCGCGTCTCCATCTCTCCCTTTTCCCCCTCAGGGGCGCATCGTGAGGAGACGGGTGGCGACGGGCGGGCAGACAGCCCCTCTTTTGCGAGACTTCCGCCGCGCTGCCAGGGGAAGCCTGAGGGAGGAGGAAGAGGAGGGGATGGAGAGGGACGCAGAAGGGCGGCACTTCAGCGGCCGTGGCGGCGCTGCAACCACCTCATGCCGGGCTGGTGGGTGCGTGGGCGAGAGTCTCTCTCCCTCCCTCCCTCTCTTTCGGGTGGGGAAGGGCCAATGGAACTCCTCGCACCAGGACAACAGCAGGCCCGACATGCTGCTTTGCATACCCTCCAACCAGTGCAGCATCTTAATGAGTGATTTCCCTCTCTGCATCCCTTTCATAACTCTATTTTTATAAATCATTTGTCCATCCATAGTTCAAATTTTTACTACAAGTTTTCTGCCAATCCTACCAATGTATGTAACTCTTTACAATAGCTTTTCAACTAAATTATAAACTTTCCCCATTCTTTATTAAAGAGGTCCTCTTCCTGGTTTCTAATTCTGCCTGTAAGCTTTGCCATCTTGACGTCGTTCATCAGTTTTGTCTGCCCCTCTTCTTTGGTCGGAGTTGTAGACCCTTGGGATCATCTAGTCCAACCCCCTGCAAAACACAGTCAGTCGCAGCCAAAGCAGCATGACTCCATCAGTGCTGGATTTCTGTATAAGCTAAGCCAAAATCCCTTATTTTGGCTGCTGGTCCCTTATTTTCAAATCTGTAAGTTGACAGCTATGGGCAGGCCCCACAAATAACCCAGAGATGCATTTTAAATAAAAGGACACATTCTACTCATGTAAAAACATCAGACAGGCCCCACAAATAACCCAGAGATGCATCTTAAATAAAAGGACACATTCTACTCATGTAAAAACACGCTGATTCCCAGACCCTCCACAGGGGTCGGATTGAGAAGGCGATTGGGCCAGATCTGGCCCCCAGGCCTTAGTTTGCCTACCCATGCATTTGGGCATGTGGCAAATGGAGTCTTTTTCTGGAGTTTCTATAGGACCTGCCTGCTCTACGCAGCTCTGCCTTAATTCTCACAGCTTCCAAACAAGGAACTCAAACAGGGATGGAAGGCCACATTTTCTGTTTAAAAAAAGATATTCCATATCTGCCAAAAGAAAGGAGCAAAACAGGCATGTAGCTAAGTACCTGAAAAACAGAGATAGTCTGACCTGCCCATCTCTAAAACCCAGATAACTGTCATTTGAACAGAATGGTTGGGATTCTCTCTCCCCCCCCCCCCCGCTCCCCAAAAGCAGTTTTCTGAAGAAGTCACAGGAGTTGAGCTGCTTCAAAGTGCTTTAAAACCTTGATTTCATCCGAACAGAAAACCTCCATTTCTGAAAGAATTGCAATCAGCATGCGTGTGAGGAGAAGGCCTTCCTATACCTGAATGCTTGTCAAGGATTATGAAAAGTCCAAAAAGCTACTCCCCAGCCCCCAACTTTCAATAGATTCTCCCCCACCAACCTGCCCACCACCTCTGCCCAAGAAAATGTCACTCTCCTGTAATGGAGGCAGGGGATCCTGTGTGGTGGCTTTTCCCCCACCATAGAGAGGGCACTACTCCAGGGATTAGCCGTAGGTGCAGAAAACCTATCATGGTAGCTACAAACTTCTGATTTTCTCTTTAGCCTTTAAGTGGCACCAAATAGCTTTCTTCCAATTGCTGAGTAGCTTAAGGATGCTTACCAAGCTAGACTGATTATGAGGGGGTGGGGGCGGGCGGGTGATGTGGTGATTCTTTTGACTGGCCTTGAGTTGCTTTAGCAATTGCCTTTCTTGTGAGCGTATCTGATAGGCTGGGAGATTAGATGAACCTTCTGGTGAATTTTGTTGCCATTGGCAGCAGCTCAAGTGCAGTATTCCTGGCCGAGGCCCCTTCACCTACTCATATGCGTTACCAGTTTGTGGTTATCAGCTCTGTGCAAATTTTGAGACAAGCTCATCTGCTGTTTGAGCTCCCTGGCTTCGCTTAGAAGCAAATAGGACAGCATTTTTTTAGGGGTCTCCTAATGAGTCCAAACCTTAAAAAAAAAAAAAGTTTAGATTAAAAAGTTTAGATTCAATAAAGAAAGAAAGAAAATTCATAAGGATAAGCAAAGCCAGAAACTTACACACATTTAACCTGTGCACGTTCAGCTGGTCCCTTCCAACTCTACAGTTCTTTGGTTCTGTGATTTAAATGCACAGCAATAAAAAATGAAAATTAAAAGCCAGAGGTTCCAGGATAAATAGCATCCAGCCACCACTGGGTTTTTACTGTACACGATTTTGGCTTTAGGCGTGATCCCCAGAATGTAACCCCTGCGTAAGTTTCAGAGAGGCTTCACTCCGAATATTACAGCAGATTGAGCATTGTCATTAAACATATTATTCCAAAACATTAACACACACACCCCTCAATATTTCCAGAAACCTGTTAGGCTGATTCTAACAGTATTCTTTTATAATAAGTTAACTCAATAATTGCTAATATATTCCAGATTTTTTCAATCCATCCACATATTGTAGGAGATGTACTGCCCACCCCCTATTATTATTATTATTATTATTATTATTATTATTATTATTAGTTTTCATAATCTTAGTAGAAGTTATAAGACATAATACTGATTATTGATCATTTTCCAGGATAGCATGCTTTAGATAGGTCAAATAGAACTATTTTAGATTCCAAGGGTATAAGGGTATCCTAACATGTCAGAAATATTATCCCAAACAGATTTTTAAAATATCCAGACCATCACATTGGTTCTTCATTTGAAGCATCTGTACCTCTTTCTACAAATCAGATTGGGTGGGGATGTTAAGATCTTTCATCCTGCACATGGGATGGACATTCTGCCACGGACATTGCAGAACAGGGAGGCTGGGTCTACTCTTAGGTCAGGGAAAAGGAGCCCAGTGGATGAAGAATGATCCCTGATAACTTCAAGGCATTTCCCCCCACCACAGTTCACCCTTAAGTACATCCACTTTATGTCCTGTTTTCCTGAACTCTGTCTAACTTCCCTTCAATATTAGTTAGGGATCCAGTACAGTGGTACCTCGGGTTACAGACTCTTCAGGTTACATACGCTTCAGGTTACAGATTCCGCTAACCCAGAAATATTACCTTGGGTTAAGAACTTTGCTTCAGGATGAGAACAGAAATCGTGCTCCGGCGGCACAGCGGCAGCAGGAAGCCCCATTAGCTAAAGTGGTGCTTCAGGTTAGAACAGTTTCAGGTTAAGAACAGACCTCTGGAACGAATTAAGTACTTAACCCGAGGTACCACTGTACTTTAAAGCCCCCTGTGTTATACTGCATGCATCTGCCTTTGACTCCTTGAGAAGTTTTCCTCCTTTCCTCACTCCCTCTGCCTAGCCTCCCCCCCCCCATTTCTCGGCCTGTCAGAGGTAAACCTCTTCTGTGTGTTTAGATAGACAGTGGGGAATATCTCTTCCCCAATATTTTCTGCCTTCTTAGAAGAAAACGTGTTCACTTTTTATTTCTTAATAAGCTCCTTTCCGAAGACATTTTGGGTTTTGCTATTTGTAGTACAGTGGTGCCTTGGGTTACATACGCTTCAGGTTACATACGCTTCAGGTTACATACACTTCAGGTTACATACGCTTCAGGTTACAGTCTCCGCTAACCCAGAAATATTACCTTGGGTTAAGAACTTTGCTTCAGGATGAGAACAGAAATCGTGCTCCGGAGGCACGGCAGCAGCGGGAGGCCCCATTAGCTAAAGTGGTGCTTCAGGTTAAGAACTGTTTCAGGTTAAGAACGGACCTCTGGAACGAATTAAGTACTTAACCCGAGGTACCACTGTAATGCCGCAGTGGCGTCTACCGGCAGCATCAACCCTGTAAGTGTTGCTCACAAGTGTGGTGTGTAGTCTGACCTCCTGAAAGAATGCCCTGTCTAGGTTTCCAAAGGGAGAATGGCTGGCTGACAATGGGGAGCCTCTCTTGCAAAATGCAGTGCAGCAAGGACACTTTGGTTGGTCTTGTTTTGGGAACGTGGGCACTTCAGGCTGCTGGGTGGCAGGAGGATTGCAAGCCTGGACTCCTGGCTTTCATGCAAATGTAAGATAAAATAGTTTCAGGGTGAGAGATCGAATTGGAGCAATGTATTTGATTATTAACTCCCATTGCTCGGTCCTTGCTCCTGCCAACCTAGCAGATAGAAAGCACACCAGTGCAAGTAGATAAATAGGTACCGCTCCGGTGAGAAAGTAAGCGGTGTTTCCGTGCACTGCTCTGGTTCACCAGAAGCGGCTTAGTCATGCTGGCCACATGACCCGGAAGCTGTACGCCGGCTCCCTCGGCCAATAAAGCGAGATGAGCGCTGCAACCCCAGAGTCGGCCACGACTGGACCTAATGGTCAGGGGTCCCTTTACCTTTACTTTATTTGATTATTTCCTCTATATCCCACTTTTCCCTGCAAGGCTCTCTCATTTTATCCCCACAGCAACCTAGGCTGACATGCAGTGACTGGTCACACCCAATGAATTTCATGGCTGAGTGGGGATTTGAACCCAGTCACCCAAGGCCCTGGTCCAACACTTGAACCACTACATCACACTGCTTCTCAGTGAATGTGTCATATTAAGAATTACACTGGAGGTGCAAAAAGAAGAACAGGACACATTACTATATGCAGTGAACCTGTAATTCTGCATAAAAATACTGGAAGATGATTATTAGAATAATAACAAAAAAAATTGAAATCTGAACTTCCCTTAGATCCGGTCTGATTGCTGCTTGGCAGCCAAGGCTGGTTCTCAGTGCTTTTTTAATTATTTATTTAAAATGTGTATACACTGCAGCTAAGCAGAGCAGAATTATCAGGGTAACAGACCCCCCCCTAAAAAAAAGTTACTTTGGATGACTTACGTTTTTAGCTGACACACCTAGAATATGTCAAACACATACTGGGATTTACTGGTACACATCTGGGGGCAGCTGCAGCAGTGCCCCAGGTGAGATTCTAGAGCCTAAGCAGAGTGTCAGTGGTAAAACATGAGGAAATGACATGCATGAATTTGGCCTCTAGGACTAAACAGATGAAATACCATATTTTTTGCTCTATAAGACGCACCCGACCATAGGACGCACCTTGTTTTAGAGGGGGAGAACAAGAAAAAAATCTCCTCCTCTCTGCTCAGCGCCCCTTCAGCGAAGCGGCAGGAGAAGCGGAGCCCCTTCCATTTCTCCTCCCTCTTCACTGAAGGGGCGCTGCGCAGCTCTCCCTCTCTGCTGAAGCCAGGAGAGTCTTGCTCTCCCGGCTTCAGCAAAAGAAACCCAAAGCCTACGGCTATCCCTGAAGCCTTCGGAGCACAGTGTGAGTTCCCATTGCGCTCCAGAGGCTTCGGGTTCCTTTTGCTGAAGCCGGGAGAGCAAGACTCTCCTGACTTCAGCGAAAGGAACCTGAAGCCTGCAGAGCACAGCGGGAACTCGTGCACTGACCCCTCTCACTCTCCAGGCTTCAGAGAAAGCAATGCAAAGCCTCCGGGAGGAGAAGCGGAGCCCCTTCCATTTCTCCTCCCGCTTTGCTGAAGGGGCGCTGTGCAGCTCTCCCTCTGCTGAAACCAGGAGAGTCTTGCTCTCCCGACTTCAGCAAAAGGAACCCGAAGCCTTCGGAGCACAGCACGAGTTCCCACTGCACTCCAAAGGCTTCAGGCGGCTATCCCTGAAGCCTGGAGAGCGAGAGGGGTTGGTGCTCACCGACCCCTCTCGCTCTCCAGGCTTCAGCGAAAGCAACGAATAGCTTCCGGAGTGCGGAGGGAGCACTCCCTCTGCGCTTTGGAGGCTTTGCATTGCTGTTGCTGAAGCCAAGGAGCCTGCATTCCCTCCATAGGACGCACACACATTTCCCCTTAATTTTTGGAGGGGAAAAAGTGTGTCCTATAGAGCGAAAAATACGGCATGTTAGATGTCAGGGAACTGCCATCAGAATCCAGAGGAGAGGGAGGTCGCCCCAATGATGCAGGGGAGGGGACTAGCAAGGAGGGAGAGAGAGCTTCCGCTGGGGAAGGAAATCAAGGGGACACCAGGAAGAAAGGAGAGGCTGAGAGTACTTCGGAGGGAAGGCTCTGAGACTCTTCCAGTGAGATCAGCAGGGAGAGCACCGGACCGCCGCTTGGCACGCCCACTCTGCCCAGAAGGCTTCCGCGCAGAGAATCTAGGCGGAGACTGGGCGTCAATGATTTTTTATGTTGGAAGAAGTTTAGAAAACACCCACTGACAGATTCTGCCAGCGACTGAAGCAGCCGCGCATAAGGGCTGCTCAGCCAGGGAATGGCTCAACCACCCCAAGCAGCTTGGAGCAGTTGGTGGTTTACACACAAGCAACCCCAATTCCCATTACAGCAATCCGCCAGTCTTTTATGTTGCTTGTGCGCAGGAGAAGAGGGGCACCGTCATGAGTCAAACCGGAGGAGCAGGCGCTGCGGAGGGGGCCAGGGGAGGACCAAGTCTGGAGGAGAGAAACAGAGATTTGGAACAGCAGCTGGCTCTTCTGGCGGCGCGGCTGGATGAAAGGCGGACTCAGGATGCCCAGGGGAAGCCCACCCCCATCGCAAGGAAGGTACTGGGACTAGTGCAGAAGTTTGGGGGCAACCCTAGGGATTATAACGCATTTAAGACAGAGATGCAGTATGCGCTGGACCTGCAGTATGATGACTTTGTGGATGACGGGGCTTGAGTGGCTTTTGTGATAGGGCACCTTCAGGACGGGGCCAGGGAATGGGTTCAACCCTTAATGGCGTCCGAAAATGCCGCGTTAAAGGATCTGAGGAAATTTTTTAGCGCCATGGACCATATGTTTTCGAGCGAAGTGGAGCTGAGCATGACGCGCAAGGAACTGATGGGTTGCAAAAAGGAACCAATCAGTGAGGGAGTACTGGTCGCGTTTTGCCATGTTGATCCACAAACTTGGGTGGGAACTGAGTTTGGAACCGGTGCAGATGTTATTTGAGGAAGGGTTATCCCCTTGGGTAAAAGACGAACTTTCCCGCTCGCCCCGCCCGGAGTCGATGGACCAGCTGACCAAAAGGGCGCTTGCGGTGGGAGTAAGGCAAGAGACGCGGGCGATGGAAAGGCGGGAAGGGAGAGCCGAGCGTTGGCATGACAACTGCATTCCTGAGATGCCAGGGCAACCTCAACCGCCAGAGGAGCCAATGGAGATTGGAGGCGCGCGCGCGGGCTTTTCAAACTCTGGCGAGGTTCGCAAGAAGGAGGGGAAAACCGCCAAGAAATGCTTTCTCTGCCAACAGCCGGGACATTTTGCCAGGGTCTGCCCTCAGAGGAAGGCGTGGCAAGGAATGGTGGGGTCAGTTGGTGGGGAACAGGAGGAGGAAAAGGAACAGGGAAACGCCAGTGCTTGGCTGCCGAAGAACGGGCACAGCAGCCAGGCAAGCACCCAGTAAAAGTGCCCAAGCCAGATCCTCCCCAGGCAGCCATCGCCATAGAAGTGGTGCTAGAACTCCCCAATGGGCACCCAATCAAGGTGAAGGCATTGTTGGATTCAGGGAGCTCTTGCAACTTTTTTAGCAGGGAATTTGCCCTAGAACATCAGCTCCACGTATCGCCACTAGAGCACCCTTTGCAAGTAACGACCATCAATGGGAGGGAACTTCTAGGGGGGGAAGTGACCCACCAGACTCCTCCCATGAAAATGAACGTCTCCAGACACACAGGGACAATTGCCTTTCACGTAGCCACACTAGCAGGACCACCAATCATATTGGGGATGAGTTGGCTGGCACTGCACGATCCAGTGGTGGGATGGCACCAGTGAACAGTCTCCTTTGGGTCAGCTTACTGCATGGAGCACTGCCACGGGGGGAAACCCAGAGGATGGCAGTGGCCAGAGTGGCAGGGATGGCGGTAGGAGAGAAGGGGAGAGTACCACCTCAGTATGCAGACCTGGAAGAAGTCTTCAGTGAGAAGGAGGCGGACAGGCTACCCCCCCCACAGGCCCTTTGACTGTCAGATCAACCTACTCCCAGGGGCCCAGCTGCCAGTGGGTAAGCTGTATGCCATGTCGGACAGGGAGATGCAAGAGTTGCAGAAGTTTATTGACAAGAACCTGAAGAGGGGTTTCATACGAGAATCAAGGGCGGTGGGGGGCAGTCCGGTGTTCTTTGTGGACAAGAGAGACTCCAAAGAGCCCAGATTGGTCGTAGATTATAGGTCCTTGAACCTGGTGTCAGAACCAGTGACCTTCCCCATGCCGAGAATCGATGACATTTTGGCCAGAGTAAGGAAAGGGAAGGTTTTTGCCAAGTTGGACCTTCGAGGGGCGTACAATTTGATAAGGATGAGGGAGGGGGATGAATGGAAAACCACCATGTTCACCCCTCTGGGGGCCTTTGAGTATCTAGTTATGCCCTTCGGACTCCAATCAGGCTCAAGCACATTTCAAGCTTTTATGCACCATGTGCTGGGGTCCCTGCTGTACAAGAATTGCGTAGCTTTCTTGGACGACGTGCTAATCTACTCAGAGAACGAGGAGCAGCATGTAAAGGACGTCAGGGAAGTGCTGAAAAGACTGCAGGAGCACCAGCTGTGGGTCAAGTTGAAGAAATGCCAATTCCACGCCCAAGAGGTGGAGTTCCTGGGTTACAGGTTGTCTGACAAGGGCTTAGCCATGGACCCAGGCAAGGTGCAGGCAGTGCTGGAATGGAAGACTCCCAAGAACCGGAAGGACGTGCAGAGGTTCTTGGGGTTTGGAAATTTCTACAGGAAATTCATCAAGAACTTCGCCCACCTGACAGCGCCCATTACCGATTGCCTCAGCAGCAAGAAGAAGTTTGAATGGACAGCAGAGGCTCAGCAGTCCTTTGAGAAGCTAAAGAGGGCGTTCGCTTTGGAAGAGCAACTCTTACACGTGGATCTGCAGAAGCCGATGAGGCTGGAGACAGACGCATCAGACCGAGTGGTGGGAGCCGTATTACTCCAGCCGGGAAATCGTGGAGAGTGGAAGCCGTGCGCCTTTTTCTCGAGGAAGCTGAACAAGTCCGAACAAAACTACACGGTGTATGACCGGGAACTGCTGGCTATTCATGAGGCCTTTCGCCGCTGGAGACATTTTCTAATAGGTGCACAGCACAAGATCCAGGTGTGCACGGACCATAAGAATCTTGAGTATTGGAGGACTGCACAAGTCCTGAATCAAAGACAGGTGTGATGGGCACAGGAGTTTTCAAAGGTTTTTTTTGAGATTAGGTACGTGCCGGGGAAGGAAAACGTCAGAGCAGACGCTCTTTCCCGCAAACCAGAGTACTTGGAAGGAGAGGGAGTGCCAGAAGCACGTCATGTCATACCTGAGGACCAATGGGTGTGTGTGGGAGTGTTGGTAGGGAGACAAGAGCTGGCCGGGTGGACGAGGGATGACCAGTATGCCCAAACCAAATTCAGGGAGATCCGAGATGCAGAAGAAAATCAGGGGGGTTTTGAGGTCAAGGAGGGGGTTTTGTACTATAAGGGAGCGTTGTACATACCAGAAGAGGACTTGAGGGGAAAAATACTCAAACAGCTTCATGACAACCCCACGGCAGGACATTTTGGCCAGCACAAGACCATGTTGCTTGTCACCAGGCAGTTCTGGTGGCCGAGGGTAAGGGAAGATGTGTGGGAATACATACGGGGGTGCGAGCGCTGCCAGCGCGCTAAAGGGGAGAGGGCAGCACCCGCGGGGTTACTGGAACCGTTTCCCACACCAGGAGGACCATGGGAAGTGGTATCAATTGATTTTATGACCGATTTACCCAAGTCCAGGGGGAAAACAGCCGTCATGGTGGTAGTTGACTTGATGACCAAAATGTGCCATTTTATTGCGTGCTCGCATGCAGTAACAGCTGAGGAAACAGCGAGGCTATTTGTTAATCATGTCTTCAGGTTGCATGGTGCCCCCTTGAGGATTTTGTCCGACAGAGGCCGGCAATTTACTTCCAGATTCTGGAGGAGGCTCATGAGCCTGTTAGACGTAGAGGCGAGCTTCTCGACGGCCAGACACCCAGAAACCAACGGACAAGCAGAAAGAGCTAATAGCATACTTCAACAGTACCTACGCTGCTACGTCAACGAAAGGGAGCACGATTGGGTGGACAAACTAGCGCTGGCTGAATTTGCATACAATAACGCGGAACATGTGTCCACGGGGATGAGTCCTTTCATGGCCAATTATGGGTGTCACCCCAGGGCTTTCCCAGGGGAGGGGGAGGGGAGGTGGAGTGTACCAGCGGCCGAACAATTTGTGGAAGAGATGGAGGCGTTACACCAACAACTCAGGGTTAACCTGGAGAGGACGAAGGAAGCGTACAAGAGGCAGGCAGACAAGCACCGCAGAGAAGGGGAAACTATAAGAGTGGGGGATCAGGTGTGGTTGTCTACCCAAGGGTTACCGTTCAAAGGGGGTTGTAAGAAATTACGGCCAAGATGATTGGGACCTTTCGAGGTAACACAAGAAGTGAATCCTGTGGCTTTTAGACTCAAATTGCCCAGCAACATGAAACTGCACCCGGTGTTCCACAGGTCCCTACTCTCACCGTACAGGGAAGGAAGGGAATTTCTGGGACAAGAAAGAGGAACACCCATGCATCCACAGGTGGAGGAAAGGGAACTCAGTAGTCATGCAGCTGAGATTCTTGATTCCAGGTGGAGAGGGAGGCAGGTGGAATATCTGGTGGCTTGGGAGGGGGAGCCCGAATCAGAGAACACTTGGGTTCCAGCGGAAGAGATCAGGGATGAGTATCTGGAGGAGTTCCATTGCAGGTTCCCAAGGAAGCCCAAGCCATTAGGGAGGTTCTGGGAGGAGCAATTTGGCAACACGGAGGATGAGGAAGAGTTTGTGGGATTTCCCGCCTCTGAAGAGGAGGAAGGGGGAAGATCCGAAGGGGAGGAATCCGACTGGGAAGAGTGGGCAGCGGAAAGAGACAACAGCAGGTGGAGAGCAGTGTTGGAATCATCTGAGGAGGAGGATAGCTCCTTCAGGGGGTTCCCCACTTCACCGTCCCAGGAACGGACGGGAGGGGAGGGGGCCCCTGGGAGGGAGGTGGATGTCAGGGAATTGCCATCAGAATCCAGAGGAGAGGGAGGTCGCCCCAATGATGCAGGGGAGGGGACTAGCAAGGAGGGAGAGAGAGCTTCCGCTGGGGAAGGAAATCAAGGGGACACCAGGAAGAAAGGAGAGGCTGAGAGTACTTCGGAAGGAAGGCTCCGAGACTCTTCCAGTGAGATCAGCGGGGAGAGCACCGGACCCCCGCTTGGCACGCCCACTCTGCCCAGAAGGCTTCCGCGCAGAGAATCTAGGCGGAGACTGGGGGTCAATGAATTTTTATGTTGGAAGAAGTTTAGAAAACGCCCACTGACGGATTCTGCCAGCGACTGAAGCAGCCGCGCATAAGGGCTGCTCAGCCAGGGAACGGCTCAACCACCCCAAGCAGCTTGGAGCAGTTGGTGGTTTACACACAAGCAACCCCAATTCCCATTACATTAGAGTAAAGAAGTTTAGACCTTTTTCGATAGATTAGTAAACAACATTCAGAGATTTATTGATTCCTGATCAAATGAACTACACACAAGCTGTGTGTTTTATTATAAATACTTTGCAAACCAGACAAAGCTAAGCAACTTTCACCTCACATTCAGATTGGTTTTTAGTCATCTGTCCTGGCTGCTCATCTACTACTCAGCCAGATTTATGGTTCTTGAGTTAATTTACAAGGCCCTGAGCTGCTTAGGTACTGGGTACTTCAGGGACTGCCTAAACCCTAATATCCCAGCTCATTCACTGAGATCACCCGCAGGAGCATCCTTGTTCATTCCCCAAGTTGGTGAGGCTTCTTTGACAACAATGAAAAACCAAGCCTTTCATGTCATTGGCCCAGTGCTGTGGAACACCCTGCCAATAGAGATTCAGCAGCCTTCTGTGCCAACTTAAGTCCCTGCTCAAGATGTTTCTATTCTTATTATATAGGCAGTTAAGAATACAACTTTCCGTAATAGTTAGTTGATTCCTGATTTTAAATTTTTGCATAATCTTTATGGTATGGGCTTTATATACAATTGTTGTAAACCACTCTGATTTCTTTTTAATGAATAACGGAATATATGTAAGTGCTCGTCCTTAATAGTTTCCTTGTATGTTTGCTTTCACCTAGGTGGCTGTTGTGACTGGGATGAATGAGGAGGAGGCACCAAGGAATGGTGAGCTATTGGATATAGATGAACTGCTTTGGTAGAAAGCTTATTTATTCCCAGATGTCGATCAACGTGGTGGCGGTGGCAGTGCAGGGAGATGATCCCGCCGCCCCCCATACACCTGGTGTAGGAAGGGTTATGGACTGGTTATGGAGTGGTCAGGCATAGGGCTTGCCCACAGTTTGCTTGTGCCATGCCCACCAAGCACATGTCTGAGAGACTTTCCGCTTGTCCTGAGCTTTCGAGGCACGAGTCAGAGAGGTTTTCCGTTCACCCCGCCACTTTGCCCGGGGAAACCCTTAGCCCTGAACCTGAGCAGACATCAGTCCACAGGAAACCTGATTGACATTTGTTCCGATCCAGTGGTAAAGAGCGGGTTTTCGCAGGGGAAAGTGGTGGGGAGAATGAACTCATAGATGTGTAGTCTAGGGAGAAGCCAAACTAGACAGTTTTGATGTGGACTCATTATTTTATTTTATTTTCTATAAATAGGGAGAGTCACATAAGTACTCCTCCCAGTAGTTACTCTTTGTAATAGCTGGGCTATATAGACTCATCTTAAAATCTTGGCTATGTGCAACTGCATCTCTTTATTTATTTTTATGCTGGGTCTGCTCCATGTTTGCTTGGTCATGTGCTAATGATAATAAATAATTGAAAAGAAAAGGATTATGGTTCAGGCAGCATGCAATTCTTTTTTGCAAACTGCTTTGAGGTTAGTTTGTTCGTTTTTTTTACAAAAGCAGCATATAAAGTTTATGAAATAATAAAAATAATAAAAGGAATAAAGTCCACTCTGGTGGCCTTACATCTGTGATCCATTTGGACATGCAGGCTATCCCTTGATGTTGCTTGTTCACCCCTTGATTATACATGTGGAGTCTCACTTAGCTGTAATGTTGGTGGGTGTGTTTTCCCTCTCCGCAGACTTGCAGCTGATTCACAACCAGAATCCCATGTTGGGGGAGCCTCCAACTTTCAAGATGGAATATGACAACAGTATTCCCCTGGAGGCTTCTGTTGACATCATACCTCCTGTTCATTTCAGCGATGAGGCACTTGAGGAGTGCCTTGGTCAAGTATACCAAGTAGATGGCGCACCTACCCTGTTGTTCCTGGATCAGCCGGTTTTCTTTGAAAATGTGTAAAACAGCTAAAGAGGCCCTCCCCTCCTGCTCCCCAGCCTGGTTGCAGATTTCATAGAGAAAGCTACCTAGATGTACCGGTAGCTTTCAGCACCAAAGGCTGGTAGAGCTCTTGCCTCTCCTTTCTGCGGTTTTCTGTAAGGGGAGGGTTTATTCTGCTTTTTCTGAATACCAAAGCCTGTGCAGCTAAAAAGCTGGAATTGTGCCACAATGGTTTGTTTGTTTTTTCAAAAAACAAATAATCCAAAAGAAGTTTATTTTATATACAAGTATTTTTTCTAGTCTTAGCAACTTGCAGCTCACTGTAAACCTTTGCCTATCAAATTGTCTAGTCTCATGATATCCAGTATTGCAAAACTGCAATTATTTAACTCTTGTTAAATTTTGACTCAGAGGTGGTTTGTACTCCCGTTAGGATTGATTAACTTTTGTGAAAATCAGAACTGAAGAGGCCGTTCCTTGCCTCTTCTGTTATTTTGATTACTGTTGTCAGAATACTGTTGTATTCTTTGGTTATGTATTTTTTTCATTTTGGTTATGCATTCTTTGGTTTCACCTCTGATTTTTTTATTATTATTTATCATCATTATCATTATCATCATCATTATTAAATTTATTAGTCACTTTTTCTTTGCCACAGTAACCCAGAACAACTAATGAAATCACAAAACAACAACAACCTGAAATACACAAACTAAAATTGGGGGCAGGCAGGTGGGAAATACATTAAAACATCCCACTCACTTTAAACGATCACAGATAGAGGCCTGGTTGGAAAGCAAAAATTTTGCCCAACACTGAAGATATATCACAATGGCACCAGGTCTGCCTCCCAGGGAGGAGCATCCCACAAGAAAGAGTCACATTGAGAAGGCTCTATTCTCATGTTGCCAACTTCAGGAGCTCCCATGGGTGGAGCACAAGAAGGAGGCCCTCAGATGACAATTGCAGGGACTGTGTTGGTTCATATGGGAAGGGCTGGTGGGGTACTGGGGTTCTGAGAAGCATAACACTGTAAATATCAAAACCAGCACTTTAAACGGGGCCCAGAAACCTATTGTTAGCCAGTGCAGTTGGGCTAGGATTGGTGTTATATGCGCAGAGCATCTTGCTACAATAAGAAAATATCAATGTAAGCAATTTGTTTCCTTTGAGAAATTATATTTCTAATTCATGTGTGTGAAATGATGCCAATATGTAGCTACAATACTGAGTATAAAGACAACGCTTTAAAAAAAGCTGCTTTTTTCTGTGCACTGTGCGCCAAATCCTCCCAAGTCACTTCTCAATAATTTGTAGCAATAAGCAAAATAAATATCATTAAGATTGTGTGATTAAGTGTTCTCTTTTTAACTCCTGGGCCAAAAGTTTGAATGATTCCTGTGACCTGTCCCACCTGCACATCTCTGGCAAATGACCTTTATTATAAAGAGTGTGACCTGATGCTTGTTTTCTCCCAGAGCTCTTCACAAGGCTTCAAAGTTTGAGACTTGGGGGGGGGGGGCAGTGGCAGGGAGAGTCTTCCCTGCACTCAGAAACAGTGATAGGAAACAATCTAACATATTGCTTTGTTTTAAAGTGATTGTGCTTTAGTTACACAATCACTTTTTATAAAGTCTGCTGTTTGCCTTGTGAGGTTGCTTAATGGTTCGCCTTCCCAAAAGCAAAGCCCCTCTGTAGTCCCTAGGCAGTGTTAAATGTCCTCCTCCTTTCTGCCATTCCTGGATTTGGCCCTTGCACCATCCAAAGCAGGAACATAGGAGAGCAAATGCAAAGGGGATGGTGGTTTAGGTTTGCTGATGAGCTGCATAGCAGTGATGAGGCTAGCAAACTTCCTATTGAAATGGAATACTTTTATTTACAAGTACTGTAATTGTATAACAGGCTAGGAAAGCCTTTTGGGAATTTCATATGGCTGCTCTTGTGTCAATCTGGGCATGAAGAACAGAGGTTCTGCAAATTAGTGGGTTTATTTTATCCTAAGCTTTGTTTTCAATAAATTAAGGACCTGTGATTTTCATATATATTAGAAAGTTTATACTGGCAAATCAAAATTCAAGTACGTTCACTCCTGCTAATTAGTGTTCATCATAGATTTTTGCATTCCTTCCAGTCTTTTTTAATTCTTTTGGTTCAACTGATGGATGCAGATTTAAATTCTTGGGTTTCAGAACTGACGTTTAAAATGCCATTGACACAAGTACTTAAACACACTACACAGAAACCACTTGCAGGACCAGGCATCGGGGTCCCCATACCCCAACCCATATAAATAAGAGACCAGTAAGAGTGGTTTTGGGTAAAAACAGGCCACAGCTTTATTGAATACAGATTAAAGAGGTTTGGCTTGGGCATGGGGCAATCTAAATACTTCCGGCCCGCTCACTGGAAGTGACGCCTGGTCAATTCAGGTGGGGGTTTCTAAGACTTACATCAAATAGGGTGACTTCTGCAGGGACCACTGTCTGGGGGAGTCCCTTTGATCCTGGCCCCTCTGGGCATGTGGATGTAGCCACTCCCCCCGATCCCTTTAACAGGATACCCTAGCATTTGGAGGGGCAGGCAGAGACTACAACCTGGCCTCCATCCAAGACAAAGGATTGCCCCAATGCCCAAGCAGGTCAGAGCCAATTAGCCCGGTGGGCAAATTCCTACCCGGCTCCATGAAGAACAGCAACCATAGCAAAGTCATCACTATCATCGTAAACTAAGGAAACCCAGCGAAGGAATGAACAGGTAGTGCCCTGGGTACAGGCTGCTTAAATGGGCAAGGGGCAGATCCGAGGGAAGCCTACCTGCTCCGTCAGGTCTGCCCCCTGGTACAGCCCATGTCCCCAGTCTGCATCCCCATTAGCCAAAGCCAGGAACAGGCTAGGATCCTTTTCCTGATAGGCAGCTGGGGCTTATGCCTCCACCGCCCATCAGGAAGGGCACTGAAGTTCAAGTTCCCTCATTGGGGCCCCAGTGAAACCTTTGCCATCCTGCAACGCTGCCACACCAAGAGCAGCATTTCTTTCTTTTAGCATATGCTAAAATGTGGAACTGCTTAACATGAGAAACTTGCACAAGTCATTAAATTTCAGGATTGTCACACCAGCAAATCCTTTACATTTCTCTCTTAAAGCAAGAGAAGTGAGACAAAAGGGCAGGGTCAGCTGCAAGGGCTCTAGCTGAAGCGACTCCAGTCATAAGGGTGTTGCACTGTTGGAACTCACAAAATGTTCCAGGGTAGGCATGAAGGAGAGAAAGTCTCTCCATGGGCAACAGCACCAGGGGCCCTTCCAGCCGTACAGTGCTGTTGTCCTGTTGTAGTCTCAACCACAAAAGAGATACTGTAAAATTGGAAAGGTTCAGGAAAGGGCAAACAAAAGCATCAGGGGGATGGAGCAACCCCCCCCCCATGTGAGGAAAGGTTGCAACATTTGGGACTTTTTGGTTTAGAGAAAAGATGAATAAGAGGTGACAAGGTAGAAGTTTGTAAAATTATGCACCTTCTAGAGAAAGGGGATAGAGAAGTGTTTCTCTCTGACATAACACTAGAACTCGTGGGCATCCCAGGAAGCTAAGCAGTGGAAGATTCAGGACAGGTAAAAGAAGACAGGTAAAAGAAAGGAGTTTTTCATGCAGCACATTGTTAAACTCTGGAACTCCATCCCACAGGAGGCAGTGATGGACACCAACTTGGGTAGCTTTAAAAGAGGATTAGACAAATTGAGAGGACTACAAAGGGCTATTTGCCATATGCCAATCTTCTGCCTCCACAGTTCGAGAATGTTTCTGGATAGCAGTGAATTTGTCTACCCCATGTTTTAAAATTAATCCATGGGGGGGGGGACATGGATGCAAGAGCTCTCTCCCCTAATGCAGTTCCCAAAAAACTGGTATTCAGAAGCATTATTGCCTTTGACTTGAGCCAGAGCATAAGAATGGAGCCTCACAGTCTTTCATAGTCTTATGATCCTTCATGAATTTGTCCAATACTCTTTAAAGCCATCTAGGTTGATGGCCATCACTGCCTCCTGTGGGAGTGAGTTCCATAGTTTAACAAGGCACTGTGTGAAGGACTTTTCTTTCATCTGTCATGAATCTTCCAGCATTCAGCTTCATTAGATGGCAAAGGCTGCAGGGTATTTAATCTGGCTCTACTTGCATCAATAGGCTGGCTGCACGATGAAAACCCCTGAAGAAAATCAGGGTTCTAAATTGCCTACATGATTACAGGAGGCTCCCTGCTGCACAAGGCTGCCCACCAATTCCTGGAGGAGGGCAATTTGGTATAAGGGTGGGGTGGGGTGCTTGCCTCCACAACCTTCAACATTTGTCCATTTAGCAGAACTAGTTAAAAATAAGGAGCTTAGTCAGAAGACCTCCGCACAGAAGTCCTGCAATTCTACAGGTCCAGTTCCTGAAAATATGTGCTGTGTACATGTCAGAAATTATGTCTGATGCATCCACAGCATGTACTGTATTCCCTCCCACAGTGATGTGTCCAGACAGAAATTATATAGGTGCAGCTCTCCCCCCCCCCAACAGTTGCTGTGTACATACCCAACAATTTATGCCTGATGCATCCACAAAATACACAATGTTCCTTCACCATGGCAACATGTGAATGTCAAGACAGCTTCTGCAAACGCAGCTAAGAATTTCTACCTGATGTGCGCCCTTAAAATTTCTGCAAGCACAAAAGATTGTTGAGTCACCAGAACAACATGTAGTGAATGTCCAGGCAGAAATAGTACAGATACACTTCTTCCACCAGTTGCTACAAATACAGATGAGGAATTCCTGCTCCAACACACAGTATACTCTTCACATAACAAACTAAGCCCAATTGTCAATTGAAAGAAGACACGGTGTAAATGAAATCTGGCCAAATTATACACTGCCTCAGATCCTATATACCAAATTTCATACTGACACAGTCAATTGTTTTAATTTTATAAATAATAGAATTTAGAATTTAGAAAAGAACCAAGGGAAACAGGGATTCAAATCCCCACTCAGCCATGAAGCTTGCTGGCTTACCTTGGGCCAGTCATAATCTCTTAACATAACCTACCTCACAGGGTTTTCAGGAGGATAAAATGTAGAGGGGGAGAACCGCACAGATAGCCTTTGACTCACATATGAGGAAAGACTGCAGTGTTGGGGACTTTTTAATTTAAAGAGAATGCAAGTAAGAGGAGACATGATAAAAGTTTATAAAATTATGCACCGCCTGGAGAAAGTGGCTAGAGAAATGTTTCTCTCTGCCATAACACTAAAGAGGATTAGACAAATTCATAGGGGATAAGAATGTCAAAGGCTACTAGTCACAATGGCTGTGCTCTGCCTTCACAGCTGCAGACAGCAATGCTTCTGAAAACCAGTTGCTGGAGACCACAGGAGGGGAGAGGGCTCTTGTGCCCAGGTCCTGCTTGTGGACTTCCTATTGGGGCATCTGATTGGCCACTGTGAGTACAGGATGCTGGACTAGATGGGCCACTGGCCACATACTTTCCCTCTAGTTAATTTGTGAAAAATCAAAGACACTCTGCTTTAGAAGAAGAAACAGTCCATTGCCCAGTTTCTGACCGTCTTGACGCCAGAAAAAAAAAAGGAATATGCAGGCACAATCTGCCCTTGCAGTGAAGTTCAGTGACCCTCCAGAAATTTCTCGTTTGCTTTAGCATAACTGCATGTTGTAATGCTATTTTGTTTCTTGCACCACTATGCATGCTGGTTTTGTAATAACTGCCTTCGTGGAAGAATCCAGAACATAGACTGTCTCAACAGAGTGGTGCATGCTCTAGTTATCTCCCACCTGGACTACTGCAACGCGCTCTACGTGGGGCTACCTTTGAAGGTGACCCGGAAACTGCAATTAATCCAGAATGCGGCAGCTAGACTGGTGACTGGGAGTGGCCACTGGGACCATATAACACCGGTCCTGAGAGATCTGCATTGGCTCCCAGTACGTTTCCGAGCACAATTCAAAGTGTTGTGCTGACCTTTAAAGCCCTAAACAGCCTCGGTCCTGTATACCTGAAGGAGTGTCTCCACCCCCATCTGCCTGGTTCCCTGTAACTTGGCTTCTCACAGTGAGGGAACTGCCAGAAGGCCCTCAGAGGTGGACCTCAGTGTCCAGGCAGAATGATGGGAGTGGAGACACTCATTCAGAGTAGCCCCACATAAAGAGCATTGGAGTAGTCCAAGTGAGAGATAACCAGAGCATGCACCATTCTGGCAAGGCAATCCATGGGCAAATAGGGTCTCAGCCTGCGTACCAGATGGAGCTGGTAGACAGCTGCCCTGGACACAGAAGTGACCTGCGCCTCCATGGACAG